ATGTATGTATGTATGTATGTATGTATGTATGTATGTATGTATGTATGGTGTGTGTATGTAGAACTTTGGTTTATGTCTTTCAGAATCTATTATTGCTCTATTTATCATCATTGTTTTTCAAATATTAATGTACATTATTAATGGCATTTGCAGTGTTTATTATGTCGTTTTATGTTCCAGTTGACTCTAGCTAAGTTTTTATGTGAGTTTGTGTTTAAGATTTTTTTAAATTAAATTCATTCAGTCTTAATATTGTGAGAATTAAAGCATGTTTCTGCTGCTCTCACTTTGAAGCCATACCTACCTGTGTCATTTGTACAGAGAAGGCCTCGACTAGCTAGCATTTGTGTGCAGTCTACCAGTTGGCCTTAGGGTCACGCCCTCCGAGTCACTAGCCGGGTTTTGTTACATGTCCATAAAGCAGCAAAAACATGAAATAGGAGATGAATTGCACTGCATGTGATGGTAAACTTTTCTCTTGTTATACAGTTTGTTTAATTTGGATAGGTTTATGAGGAGTTTCTCTGCAAGTTTTATAAAGTTCCCCATGCTAATCTGTATTAGATGATACAGTTAATGGACCCTTAGAATGAACCATGTTGATCCATTAAGTGGGGACTTATTTCCATCCAGACCGTAACGTGGTAAAACAAGCACACTGCTTGGCTTTAATGTAAACTGTGGTTTACTGATGCAAACTAAGAGCATCTATTGTGATTCCTGTTCTAATTCCTTCCCCTTTATGGTAATCTTCTTTCTATTTTAACCAAAAGTCAAACATTACCACATATGTAAAGTGCATATGCATTGTCCTATGCAAAGTTTGACTTTGGTCCAAGTCTTGTGGGTTTGTTAACTACTTATTTAATCTATTATTACTGTGTCAGTAACTAATTTCACAGCAAATATCCCTTCATGTACTCGCCTTTTTTTATATTTATTTCGTTACCAGGAGCTTCGTTTGAATGAATCACAAATGAGTTTGTGTCTTTGAACACCCTGCGTCAATTCCTCATTCAAATGGTTTTGTTATTCACATGTGAATGGACATAAATCATAGTCATTTGCATCTGCATTTGCCTTAATTTTACCAGGAGGGAATCTTAGGGCTGATACCCAACCTTTACCTCAGATTTCTGACAAAAGGAGCAGCATTTTCTTTGTTTTAGATGAAAAAACCCCCACATAATATCACTATCAGTTATAATATCTTTATTTATCTGGCAAAAGTTCAAGGTTATCTTTTACAATATCACTATTACCAAAGCAGGTGATTAAATATATCAGATGAGTCACAAATAAACACATTTTAGCAGATGAGTATGTTAACGTATGAATTCAAATAAATGATTAAAGAAAAAGAGATAGTTATGGATTATTGCAATTTTTATAAATAGATTTTATAGGAAGTGGAGGATGGGCACATCACATAAAATCCTCCATTATGTTATGAAATAGTTCATATTCAGGAGTTCAACCTTAATGAAAACCAGATAATACTGTTACATCATGTTTTTATCACTAATTTCAGTTCATGTAGGTTATTTAAATACGCTTAAATTAAGGCATCAGTTCTCTGAGTTTAAACCAGCTGTTTGCCTCAGTCGTCATCCTGAAAACGGTGTTCCGCCTTAAAACTGAACAGAAATCAGGTCAGAGAAAAGGCTCATAAACTCGAAGCATTTTTTCAGCATCAGTGGTCACCTTGATGGCAGATGAAGGGA